TTTATGTATAGGAAAAGAAAGAGAAGATGAAGAGGATGGCTGGTGCAGCAGGAGAGTTGGCCCAATGTGTGGCAGAGGCAAAGATGTTTGGATGCAGAAGCTACACTTGAGTGGTGACCTGCTGGAAACGATCTAGTTATGTAGGGTGGCCTCATCCACAAAGTGAAGATGTGCCTGGTTACAGTGACAGTTCCCAAATAGAGATGAGGGACACGGTGGGTGAGAGGAAGATTTGCACCTGGTTGCACAGACAGGTAAAGACCTACTGTCACCTGCCAAAGAGTCATAGGACTGGTCCTTAGGCAAGGAGATATATTTTTGAATTTACATGATCAAAAGGTTGAAAAAATAGAAGGAGAAATATCACATATCTGGAAAGAGTTTAACAGTAAAAAATGTAAGAAGTTGAAGGATAAGTGGATAAGGGGGAAAGAAAGACATAATTTTGGTGAGTACAGTAGTGAGGTTAGCAACTGGCTAAACCTAATGCACATAGGCAGCTCAGCTAGATTAGTGAGGAATGAATGAACCATTTGTGTATCAACATAATAGGCTTGGGCAAGCAAAAGCAGGATTTGAATTCATGGTGCAGGACAGCAGATCCTTGAAAACACTACAAAAATTTTTGCATGAAGAATCCTGTCTGGTCATGAAAGTTATGTTGCTTGAGAAAATATTTTTGTGGATATGATCCTATATAAACCATAAAGAGCAAGTGAAGCTACTATTTAATAAGAGTGGTAAAAAGATCTGCAATAATCTACTCATGGACATAAAATGAAATCAGTAATTTCCCTAAATTTACAGTAGAGACAATGATGTTGAGACAGCATGGCTGATAGGAATGAGATTGTGGAAATAAAAATTGTCACTTGGGAGACAGAGCTAAACGGAGCGTCCTACCTACACAGACAGAGGAAACTGGATAGTCTCTACCCCCGCTTGGAAGGACTGACATACAGAAATACAAATCCAGGAGCAAGAACTTTAAGAAAGATTCAGGTGGTATTGTATGTCCGAAGAGTAGGAAAGGTTGTACCTATATTTAAGAAGAAGGAAAAATGGGATAAGGACATAAAAAAATCTATTTCTCCTACATCAGCAGTAGGTGAGACATTAGAATAAGTGTAGAGGAAAGAATATTAAAAATATGGAGCTAAATAGAAAAAGGGATGGAGTACCGCTTACATGAATCAAAGGTAGATTGTGTCAGACTAACTGGATATTTTCTTTTATGGTATAATTGATGTTTTACCAAAGTCCAGAAATGCATTTCCTCTCTTTGTATAATCAAAGCATAGAATGAAAGTTTTAAATGACACTTTACAAAATAAGAATGAAAAGGGAGATTTCAAATCTGGTAAGGGAACACTTAAAGGAGAGTTTAGTGATGAGTGTTGCTGAGGTAAGTTTACAGCTAAGTGGAGGATATGCTCAGAGTTTTTCAATTATCATTGTTGAGAACAACTGCATTTAGCTTTTTCATTAACAATCTTGCCACAAAAAATAGCAGAGAAATCTTGCTGATGAGGTTGCACATAGTTGCTAATGACATACAGCTAGGAGGCACTGTCAATACAGAGAAAGACTGAGAGAGCTCGGGTAGACCTGAAGACTGAAATAACAATCATGTTAAGCACAGGGAACAGGAGGGAGCAGAGAGGAGAAACCTGGAGTGTAGACCTGGAAGTAGGGTTAGTGCTTCCAACTCCAAGTCATTTATACATATCTTATAATTATCACCGATACTGCCCGGGACTCTTCATTTTCCCAAAACACCCAGGCTAACAATCTTTGGTAAATCTCATGTGCAATTCTTCTGCAACATTTTGTCGTCTTTTTCTTCTTTTCCTTTATCCTTCCCATTCATCCCCTTTGCACACCAGTGAACTACTGCTGCCTATTTCTGATGCCCTATGTCAAAGTAAAATCTTGAAAAAAAATATTTCTGTAAATATTAAAAAATATAATTTTTCATTAAAAAACCAATATCCTATTGAACTGCATTCCTCACCACTGCAAGTTCATGCTCTCAGTGCTCTGCTACTGAAAGATACAGGCTTGAGCAGCCAGCATGCCCCGAAGCACAAGCTCTGTCCAGTCAGCTAGAGAGGATAATTAGGATAACCTGTATGCACATGGTTCATGATCATCTCTTCTTCTCAAGTAAAAAGTATCAGAAAATTTGGTTTGGTTTTTAAAGAATGTAATGAGGTTTATTTCTAATCTGACAGAAGTGACAATGTTGGCATTCAGCTGGCTCGTCAGAGAGTAAGTGCTCTGTAGGGCAGAGTTTGGGAGCTTCTAGAATAGCTCAAGTCATTGGACCTGACCATGGTAATTTCACGTCATACACTTAAAGCAGACTTCCTGACTCACTACATGACTAATTACCACATAATGTACACGTACATTATGCTTTCAGGAATTAGCCTATTTCTCCACATCACATGCTTAAAGTAAAATACGCCTTACATGCTGTCACGAATAATTGTGAAATGTCTTGTATGTTTGCTACAGCACAGATGCTTGAAAATTCTGCTAATCAGATACAACAATGTTTGCATGCTTAGCTTCACAGTAAGGCCATGTTTGTATGCATCATTAAACTGGAAGGGATTCTGTATCACACAACCCAATTAGGTGAGACAATTACTAGCGCATTTAATTTGTGCTTTTCTGCTCGTTAAGCAGCTCTCCTACACTAGTAGCCCTGCATCTATTGAAAATGATGCATTAGCTATTGCATGTGTTTATGTCCGTATGTGCATGTATATTTATACCTCCATAAAAATATCACTGTGGTGTCCTACTTTCAGACAGTTCCATAAATTCTCGGAATACATTTACAGTGAGGAATAAATTGAGCTGTAAACCACAATCAAATTGCTATGCACTGCATGAAGTATTGACTGAGAAATTCAACTACTCTAGGAACAGTAGTTTACGAGGCAAAGCAACAGTAATTGTTCTGCTTCTCTGAGCAAAATTCTGCATGCTTTACTCCTATATATTTTTTTTCATCTCAGTGTGATTTCTTGTGTGAAAAAGATTGAGAAGTATTTGGTGTATTATTTCATTTGATTCAGGCAGATTAGCAGATCCTTCCAGTGTGACTTCCTGTGGCTATGAAGATGGAGACCTCCTGTGCATATCTGTAAGAAGCTGGTGGTCCTGTAAGTATACGCTGTTACACTGTTCTTCTCCAAAACATGATTCGTGTCCTAGAAGGCAATTTAGAATCTTTCTTCCCCTTAGACTTCTGTATTACAAAGTAATTCCAGTGCTACATAATTCTCCATCGAAAATTTGCAGCAAGACACCTAAGTGTGAGTGAGTAAATGAAAGTTAATTGACTTTGATAACTTATTTGAGGAAGGAAAAAAATGCAAATTTGCAGCCTTAAAAATGTTTACACTGCAAAAATGCATGTAAAAACACGTGGGAAACACCATGATGGGTATCTATATTGGTAGACATTTGTAGAAATTACAGTTTTCAATTACTTCAGAGCAGATTTGTTCAGCTTAGATGCTAGTACTTCGAACTAAAACTTAGTGTGAGAATGTCATGCAGGAATCTTTGTGGTTCTTGCATCACCCTCAGTAATACAAATCTGACAGGACTCTTCTGCCTTCAGTTGCACCTCCACAACTTCACTGTGATCAGTAGAATGAAATAAAGGGAGACTTTGTGCCCACTATATCTAAATAACTTCATTACCTTCATTGCACTGACAACATTTATCTAGCAGGCTTTTAAGTACCCAGCTGAAACTCAGTTAATACTTTGACCTGGTGTACATGAGCTATCAGACAATTTCTGTTCTCTTTAATATTGGCTTTGGAGTTCTAGTAGGCTGAAATTCTGGAAGTTTTTTCATTATTCCAATAAGTCGCAACAAACTAAAGACGGAAAGAAGTGTAAAGATCTGAATTTCCAATGTCAATGCCACCGACATTCTCAGTATTTTCCTCATTATCTCTAAAAATACACATCCAGATCATTCAGTCTTCCCAAAAAACCGGAAACAATCAAATTTCCTTGAATTTTTTGATGATTGAGGATTCATATGTTGCCCTGTTGAACTGGAGGGATCATGTTAATACATGGTTTCTCTTAGCCTGAGAGACACAAGAATTTAATTTGTAAAAATATATATCATAGGTGTAGTAGGAGAATGGGTCTATCCATTGCAACTAAGCAAATACGCGTTGCAGGAAGCAGTGTCATCTCAATGATGGTGGTATCAAATTTGGAACCACCTTTGCACTAGGCAGAGCAGAGAAAAGGCGAAGTGACAAACTCTACTGAAGGACCAGCTGTGAGCTAACTCAGCCATATGTGCTGTTGGCATCACGCCCGGTAGATGTGGCAGAGCACCTTATTCTCCTATGGAACATAAGGGTAGGTCCACTGCCAGGATCATGGGAGAAATAATAGTGCGTGAGACAGGATACTATAACCAGGTTTTTACATAGAAAGGAAAAACCAGTTGTATCTACTTCTAGCTAAAAGCTTTGCAGAAGAGGAAAGGAAGTGATCTGGAATGCCACATGCGACTCAAGGGTATCCATTTATTGTTGCACAGGGCAGCCCAATGAATAACACTTGTAGCGTCAACAGAAAAGGCACCAATACTACAGTGCTTACTATCTCAAGTGCAAGAACATGTGTAGCCTATTTCCCTCTGGTATTTTTACAGTCAGTGACTGTATGGAAATAGATGCCTCAAACAAAAATGCATACCTAGATTTCCACAGGGTTCATCTTACAAGGCAATTTTTTTCTGAGCCCATGAAAAAACATAAAAAACAGTTAAATTTACTCATTTGATAAATAAGAAACATTTAATTAATTTGCCTACACCCAAACCGAGTAACATATTCCAACCAGTCCAATAGAATCCCCAAAGGATATTTTTGTTTCCATTATTCAAAAGCTGAATGAACACATTATTTTAAAAACGCTAAAATTTACTTTTTATCTGATCTGGGTCAAAGTCAATATTTTTAGACTCCCATTTTTTTTCTGAAACTGGAACTCTGACTCTTTGGGAAAGTTTATCTTTTATTTTTTCAGAAAGAGAACTGACAGATAGGATGGGAGGCAGGGGGAAGACAAGCCTGACCTATAGATTACAATCACTACTTGTATCTAAAGGCAATAAAATGATGGAAATACTTTTTTAAGGAGGTAAAAGGCCTTGTAAGTCCTCCAGTTTAAATATTCTTTCCCTTCCTAGGGAAGGGAAAGCCTCATGTTCTTTTTCCTCTAGCACATTTGCCCTCCATCACTTCCGTCCCTCACTCCCTCAGCTTCCCTGCTGTCCTGTCACAAGTCCCCTTTCCACCAGACCTGCTGGCAGGCTGCAGTGAGCAGCTCTGTCCCTTCCCTGCTACACGAGCGCTTTCTTGTAGAGGCCCTTGGAATGAAGCTTCTGGCTGTAAGCCAGCAATTACATGTGTGTATCTTCAGGTGATCAAAGATGTAAGCATAGAGTAAATTTAAAATGTAAATTTAGAGTAAAACCAAAGCTCACTGTGATACTCACTCCAACTATTAAGTTCAGTTTCCTGTCTCTGTGGGTGACTAGCACTAGGTGTTCCTTGGGAAGGTGTCCCATGCAGTGACAAGTAAGAAGGGTCATTGCATAGCCCTGTGCAAGCAGAGGACCTTCCTGGAACAGAAACCACCACCTTTA